GTCAGTCCTTCTATTTATGTCCATATGTCAGTCTTTCCGTCCATGTCCATATGTGAGTCCTTCATTCCATGTGCATATGTCAGTCCTTCCATCCATGTCCATATGTCAGTCCTTCCATCTATGTCCATATGTCAGTCCCTCCATCTATGTCCATGTGTCAGTCCCTCCAGCTATGTCCATATGGCAGTCTTTCCATCTATGTCCATATGTCAGTTCTTCCAACTATGTCCATATGTCAGTCTTTCCGTCCATGTCCATATGTCAGTCCTTTCATCTATGTCCATATGTCAGTCCCTCCATCTATGTCCATATGGCAGTCCTTCCATCTATGTCCATGTCAGTCCCTCCATCTATGTCCATGTCAGTCCTTCCATCCATGTCCATATCAGTCTTTCCATCCGTGTCAGCCCTTCCATCAAAGTACTTTAATTCTATAATACGTGACTCTTTCGTCGCGAAACATGTAAAATACTATACTTAAGTAATCTAGTTCATTGCTATCAGTTGATAACATAGTGTTCCAATGTGGGTTTGCACGCACTGTCTTTCGAAAACGCCAATTCCTGTAACATTTAATTAAGTAGCTCAACATGTTAGTTCATTGTTAAAACTTCTTCAACACACTGGATAGTTGGTAGTATTCCCAGAATGTCATGCATATTCCATGTTTGATAGGTATGACATTGTCGCTGCTGTGACCTCCTTAAAAAAATCTGATGTCTACACATACGTAGGGTCTGCTTACCGAAATATAGATATTGTCACCAAGGTGACTTAACATATATTAAGGGTGTATTGACAGAGGACGCTAGTACCTGTGATCATACAAGGATTGAGCACAGTAGTATTGCTTTGAGTTTTATATTCTATGGACGAGGTATTTGCTGTTTCCTATTAGCATTTATATTGGACATGATTTGAAAGTAGGTCCCAGCATAAATATATAAAAAACCTCCCCTCGGTTCGGAGGTGGTAGAAGGCCTATATTTTGGTGAGTGTGTCGTTGTGTGGTGCAGTGACAATTAAGGGCTTTTCTTCGGTAGAAAAACGAGCAACATACGTTAATAATGCGTGAACGTATGTTGCGGAGTATGCAACACGTGTAACAATATAAGTATAACCCGTAACTATGCTTGGTCTTTATCCAACTAAACGTTTTTATATTTGTAACAATAAAACTAATGTTTACAATCAGACAAATCAAACTCGGGGAATAACTTATTAAATTTGTTAATGTACAAAGGATTGTTCAATCTGTTACTCAAGTCTTTGCTAATAATAGCAGTACTTTAACTCTGTAATGTGTAATTTTGTTATCACAGAACATGTGAAACACTAAATTTAAATAATCAATTTCACTGTTAACATTTAATATCAAGTGGTTCCAATATGGATTTGCACACACTTTCCTAAGAAAACACCAGTTCCTGTAGCGTTTGATCAAATGTCTCCACATGTTCCAAACTTCTTCAAAAGGGTGGCCAGCTGATAGTATTCCCAGAAAGTTATGCATATACCGTGTTTGCTCGGTACAACATTGTCACTATAGCTACTGCCTTGAAACTTCCTAATGTCTACACACGTGTAGGGGTTATGTACCGTAACGTAAATGTTATCTCCAATGTGACTAAACAAGATTACATCTTTTCCCTCGGTGAAACTTTGTATGGCCTCGCGTATGATGCTGTCCAGTGATTTTATGCGTAATATAGCAGCAGGTGTGATATTCATAAAAGTAAATTCCTTTATCAGAGCAGCAGTGTGAGGAATAAGGAAAACTTTACAAAAACAGTCTTTTCCGAGTGTGTAGACTTGTACGGACTCGCACAGTGTGGGTAGTCCCCTTCGTTTTGTAGGTAATTTTGGTTTTGTATGGTCTTTGGATTCCTGTAGAGCTGTGTCAGTTTTAGTACTCACGCTGTTGTCTATCATTTGGCTGTCGCCTTCTCCTTCTCCTTCTTGTTCAACCTCTTCTTGTTCGATTTCATCAGAAAATAACTGTTGTGTCGGTTGACTGAGCTGAGTCGAAACTGGAATTATTAAATTATCTGTTGTTATTTCGGAAAATTCAGGAATTTCTTGTGTTAACGCGGCTAATTCCTCTACGGGCGTTTTAAATTGTAGGGATGTGTTCGTTGTGGGTTCTGTAGATATAAACCTATCGGTATTCCTGTAAAATAAAAAGGAAAAAAAATAAAATAAAGAAAATAGTATCAGCATATAAATAAAGTATCATCATATAAATAAAGTATCATGATATAAATAAAAGTATAAGTGGAACTTACCCTTTGTGTTTCAAGGTGACGTGACGTCTAAGCGATTTCCTGCTACCATAAGTTTTTGGACAATCGTTGCAATTTTCCATGTTGACAACAATTTGTAATCTCTTCAGGAAAGACAAAGCTTACAATACTAAATGAACACAAAGCATTGAGGGTCTCTCTCTTTTTATCAGGACTATTCTACCCTCCTAAATCCGATTGGTTGACACTTTTACTTCCCTAAAACTGATTGGTTGAATTCTGATTGGCTGCCACTTTTATTTCCCTAAATCTGATTGGTTGAATTCTGATTGGTTGACACTTTTACTTCCCTAAATCTGATTGGTTGAATTCTGATTGGCTGACACTTTTACTTCCTTAAATCTGATTGGTTGAATTCTGATTGTTTATAAAATTACTAGCAATTTAGGTCTATAATTTCATATGCTACGAGATACACTTTTACGGATGCACGTTCCGGTAAATCAATCCCCCTTTTTAGTACACGTTCGCAGTCAGTTACGCATATATTTCTACTAAAGAAACGTCGCTCTGAAGACGAATGTTTTACTAATGTTCCGCCTGTACATTGTAAGGTTATTGTCCAGCCGTAAGTTAAAGGTTCTCTTCATTGCGTAGTTTCATGTTGTTCATTGTCTTCAGTTTCGGTGCCGGTATTACAAACCCCAGGCACGACGCTAGTAAAACAATCCCTAACTCTCTGTCTTTATAGTCGTGCGTCAGGCAGAATAGAGAAGCAGATATTACGATCAGCACCACATTGATTTGTTGAAAGTCTTAGCTCGATTAGCAAGATACTGTCAAACTGGAGACTTATGACGAAAGATGACAACTAGTGGACAAAAGTGGACAAATATGGACAAATAGTGGACAAGTAGTGGACAAATAGTGGACAAATAGTGGACAAGTAGTTGACAAATGTGGTCAAAGGTGGAGAAATAGTGAACAAATAGTGGACAATAGTGGACAAATATGGACAAACAGGGGACAAGTAGTGGACAAATGTGGTCAAATGTGGACAAATAGTGAACAAATAGTGGACAATAGTGGACAAATATGGACAAATAGTGGACAAGTAGTGGACAAATGTGGACAAATGTGTACAAATAGTGGAAAAAGGTGGACAAAAGTGGACAAATAGTGGACAAAAGTGGACAAATATGGACAAATAGTGGACAAATGTGGACAAATGTGGACAAAATAAGGACAGAATACAATACAGATTCATCAGTATCCGCATATTTTTACGTCAAACGAGATTATTTCGTATTTGTTTTTATATTATGAATAAGTTTAGTCTCAAAATACATTCTTTCATATTTATTGATTTAACTATCTATCTATTATTAGAACCTTCGTTTTAAACTTCTTAAACAAATCAAGTTTCAAATACAACCCTTAAAAATTAAAAATTAAGTGTATAGAAAATATTCCGATGATGGTATGAAGGATTCTATACAAAAAAATAAAATAAAAAAAGTTACAAATGACGCCGACACGCCTCTAACCCGTGACCACACACCCTGTACGCTAACGTTCTAACCCCTGCGACTTGCGGGCGGTCTTAAAAGCCGATATCGATCGACGATAGTGACGTCACGTTCGACGACCGTGACGTCATCTAAAGCTTCCCGTACGATTCTGACAAGCTCAGACTACACACTCTTCTTCACCGAATCACAAGACAAGCTAATGAATTAATACAACGGCAAGCAGACACGTACAGGAAGGAGCGCATTAGGAAACAACATCGCCAAAGAATGCATAGACAAGTATATCGTCGGAATAGAATCACTTACCTCATTCCTTTATTATACTGTTAGTTAATGTATAATTGTGAATTGTCTACGTGTTAACTATTATTTTTAGTTCAAACAAGGACGCAATACCACCTGCTACAGCACCGACACACTCACTTCCTACACGAAAAATAAGTTCATCTCATTTTAATACCACACTCGAAAACATTGTAAATATGCCGTGGATTTTATATTGTAAATAACGCATTTTGTAACTTTTTATTTTCTGCATAAGATTATTAAGAAAATGAAATACATGATTAAAAAAAGCAGAAAAAGAGGAAAAAAGAAAAGAGATAAAAAACCCAAAGAAACAGCCTCGCCGAGAGAGAGACAGAGAATACCTGAAACAGAAGGTAAAAGTTAGAAACAAGGGGAGCTAATTCCGTCGGTAAATGCCATATTGATGACGTTACACGCAATACACACACCTATTGAAAACAATGTACAAGTAATAGCGATTTTCATTTCTGTATGCGTTCTTTCTCGTACTACAAGGGTTCGCAGGTCCGTCAAGCATCACACAGATAGAGACCGTCCATGGAAGCGATACCTGAAATCAGAAGGTAAAAAGTCAGAAACAAGGGGAATTAATTCCGTCAATATGACGTCACACTAAATATACACAAATATTGGAAAACAGGGAGAGTACGAAAACAGGGTCAATAATCCGGTGAGTAACTCAAAATTGATGACGTCACAATGAAAACAAACATGATGATGTCATGTGGATGTGGGGCCGTAGGTTCATGGGATTGCTAAGGACGGCCGCCATCTTGGATCCTCCATCTTGTTTGCCTTAGCAACAAACAAGATGGCGGATACAAGATGGCGGCCGTCCTTAGCAACCTCATCCCACATCCACATGGATTCATCAATTACCATATGGCTATAACAAGTTTGTTTCTTTGTCTTCAAGATTTTCTGAAGCGGAGAAAGCTTATGAACCGCTGGACTACATCCCCTTTGGACACGGTCCCCGAAAGTGTATTGCATCGCGCCTTGCATTTCTGGAGGCCAAAATGATTACTGCTGAACTCGTGCGCAACTTCCGGTTGAGTGTGGGCAATAAAACTGTCGTAAGTACAAGTATCACAACCATTTTGTTCGTTTTTATTGAGAAATCAACATGGTACAGATATAACATTTTACTTGAAGCAATATAGTTTGGGTTTCGATTCATAAATTAATATTTCAGCCCTGGAGTTAGCCCTGATTAATTGAATTAAAACGAATTATTTAATAAACATATTTGAGATCATGCATATCATTTTCGCATTGTAAGCAAAGGAACAATTTTAGCAGAATGCAGAACATTTTTCTATTACTACTATTCTGAATATGCAATGCTTACTTTACAGATTCGTCCGAAATTACACGACAGATCCCCCGTCCAATCACCGCTACATTTGTGGTTAAAGTTGGAGGAAATCAGACAAACCCAGACATAAGTCTGAAAGTCGAACAATAACCCATAATGGGACATAATTAATCAGGAAACACATGATAGTACATAGCAATATATTTACTTGTTTTATTTTAAGTAGCAAGAACTACAGCACTGGAAACATTTAAACCATCAATGCTTATTTTACGTATGATATAACAAATATTAACAAACACTCGTACTAACTATAAGTTTTATAACTAAATCACTAATACTTCTTAACATGATATAACTAAATCACTAATACTTCTTAACATGTTATATCTAAATCACTAATACTAACTGTACGCGTTATATCTAAATCACTACTACTTACTTTGCGTGTTAGATGTAAACCATTCATACTTTTTATGCGTCATATCTAGCCCTCGAATACTAACGTGTAAACAAGAGTAGCTTTACTTGTTTTGCTATCTTTACTGCATCCAAACCACTAATTATACTATCACGACTTATCGTGCTTGGAATATCTTAACGACTTAAACCAGCTTAATGTGTTATATTGAAACAACTCATTATACAGTTGTTGGATTGCACAACATTACACGATGAGCGCATCACGTGCGCACGATGACAAGCTGTGCGATAACAATGTGCGCACACGTGTGCGTTAGCGTTTTATATTTTGGTTGATGTATAATAAGAATATCTAAACTCTTATTTGTCAGGCGAATTGTCCAAATATTAGTGCATGCAATATGTGCATCTTTATGATTCGTGATTCTATCATATATGTACAAACGATGTCAACAAAATTCATTATATGTAAATGAAGCTAATAATTTTCACTTGACATGAATAATTTGTCATATATTTCGATTTTGCTTTCCTGCTTTCGGGTCACAGCAATATATCGAGATCATTTACTGCAGTGTGTGTTCTATAACACACTTATACATGTATACATGCACACCACACACTCGCATCCTTTGCGTGTTGTGTGTGTGTCCTTGAATTACCAGTGCATCAACCGAAATCGTTTGCGCGTAATGATATGTAATTAGTTTTCATAATTTAGTTTTTGTTATTTATTGTTTAATCCATATTTTCAAAACGGGAGACGTATTGCAATGATTTATCGTTTTAAAAGACTTTTGACAACTATTAGTTACAAACGAAATCTGTAGGTCGTGGAACTTCAGAGGATACGAGCCCAATATTGGAAGTGTACACCTTAGGGGAATATAATAGGTATGTCGTAAAATAAAACGTACTTCTCTGCTTATTATCGTATTACAATGTTAACATCGGAACAAAACAATTTAACTGTTATCAATGATTATAACAATAGTTTACAAAATGATTAATAATCAATTACATCTTATAAAATAACTCAGGCATTTTCCAAAAGCAGCACCAAAAGAATGTATTTTATCATTATCATATGACGTATGATAAAAACCGTATCTTGCTAGAACATGTCGAGCTTATTCACATTTAAACACAATAGAAATATAGTTCATACACTCAATACCATATAGTAATCAATACAGCCGGAGGAATTCTAAATAGCGGCCTTATTAAGCGCTGACTATTAACCAATGCGAGTTCACTTATGTAAATATATTCTATTTTGTGGTGGAGCTCCCGATGGTATCTTATATATGAACAGTCAATGTTCTGACGAAACAAGTTATTGAATCCCGGCCTTGTGTCCGCCAAACCCAACCAATGTGTATTGTCGCGTTTCACATATTATTCAGGAGGTTTGCAGATGTTTGTCGAAGTAAATGTTTTTTTAAACCATTTTAAAGTCTTGTTTTCTCTGTAATTAGATAATTAGATAATTGCTTAATATGCACTCATGGGGGACGTTACTCTAAGATACAATCATTATACATTCATTCATTCATTCATTCAGTATAACCTTAAACCTTGCGGTCTATCAGTAACAGTGCAAATTATACAGTACATATATATATATATAAGAGTACAGAGAATACAACCTTCCGACCATGCATACACGATAAAATCACAGAGAAAGTGTAGAGAGTGAATCCTTTAATCTTAAACAGTATTGCATCTCTTTTTTTAACATTGGTTCAGATATTTGGCTTATTAGAAAGTTCTTTATTATTTCCTGTTGTCATCAAATCGACAAAATTTGTCATACTAGGTTTTTTATAACATTTTTTAATGAAACGATTTCTTAAATCAGTATAATGACCACCTCTAATAATAAAATGAAATTCGTCTTCAAAATCGCCAGTGTTACAATATATACAAATTCTATCTTTTCTCTATAAACCATGAAATCTACCCGTTTCAATATTTAACGTATGCGATGACAACCGAATTTTAGCAATTTGTTTTATATTTTGTAATCGCTTTAATTAAATACTGTTTAAGACAAAAAAGAACCACAGATCCATTTATACAGAGAACACTTAGCAGATGAATTAATTAAATCTAGACACTCCTGTTGAAAAATGTCATGCATTCTACATTTAATAATATTCAGATTTTGACCCTCTGTTAGCGATACATATCCCAAACCTAACCTTTATAATTCATTTCTTATGTTATTTGTCCAGTCGCTGCCCTTTTTACTCATCTCATCGTAACAAGCTTTAAAATGCAATTGTCCGAAATTCTAAGTTTAAGCCAATATTTAAAAATTCTGAATTTCCTAATCATTTGTAAAGGTAGCCTCCCTAATTCTTGATAAATCATTACATTAGGTGTGCATTTCTTAACCCCCATAATTCGTTTACAAAAATTCAAATGCACTTTCTCAATATCTGGAGCTTTGTGAAAGCCCCAAACTTCAGCTCCATAGTTTAGGACACTGCACACAAAAGTATCAAAAACACTAAGGTTGGTTTCAATATTGAAATATTTCCTTTTACAAACATTGGATACAGCATATAGTGCTTTCCTACCTTGTTCTGCTAATTTCTCTTGTGTCATTCTAAATTTACCATTGAATTTCATTAGAATTCCAAGGTAGCTAAAACTATCAACATTTTCTAAATCATTACCATCATAAAGCCATTTTCTTCCTCCTTCAACTTACCACCATTTCTAAAAATTACGACTTTAGTTTTTTCAACATTAACAGTTAGATTCCATTTCTTAGTGTATTGTAATAGTGTGTCTAACATTTTTTGCAATCCCTCTGCTGATTCAGCTAACAAAACCATATCATCTGCATACATTAGAAAAAATAAGTTAATAGTTTTGAGTTCTATAGAAAGACAGTTATTAGTTAAAAATTGCATCTCACAATCATTCACATAAAGAGAAAATAAAATCGGTGACAATAATTCGCCTTGGAACAAACCATCCATGCATTCGAAGAAATAAGACATTGAATTGTTGAAGTTAACACAACATTTTTTAGATAAAATAGTCACGTGACCCCCCCTGATGATCAGCTAGCGATTTTAGGGCGACTTAGGGTTCATTAACTGATATCTCCGGCGTACAGGACAGCTAAGTCTTAAAAATTTGCCTATATGGTTAAAAATACAGCTTCTTTGGATTATGTGTGAAAAAACACGATAATTCGCGTGACATCGCACAATACAAGCGCTTTGGCGAGAATTGGTCGGCAACCAGTACTGGTGATACGGCAGATCACACAACATAAAATAGTAGCTTACGGCGATGGAAACTAACGACTTATAAAAAAACATTAGTTATCTTACTTTAATCCCTTGTTTGTATCCGCCATGTTGAATGTCTGTGTCAATTCTGATGCACTTGCACGTTTTAACGACGTGACCCAGACTCTTGAGAGTACAGGGTTTCCGAAAATGGGTGTTCCGAAGTTGGGGTGGTTAATTTATGGGAGTAAACTACGATTTTGAGAACAATAATGTACTCGCCCAATGATTTATTTTTTGGCCAGTAACTATCCATCTTTTGACAATTTCTAGTCGCCCAATCAAGGTTTTGGTCGCCTTTTGCGACCAGGCGACCGGTTGTGTCCTACGCTGACTTTCTATAGTGTCTTTATATCTGCGATGTTCCTCTAGTTCACTATCCAGTCGTGTTAATTTTAGCTCACTAGCCTCTGTTCTTGTCATCACATCATCGTAGAAGTTTACTTGTATTTCCTAAAAGTCATCCGGATTGTTGCGGCATCATACACGTCATCCTCTAATCACTCAAGTACAATCAGCCTATATTTAAATATCCGAAGTTCTATAATGTCACTTGGATTATCCATGCTAGGAAAACACTACTCTCAAGGGAGCCTGGTTGCAATTATCATAATTTAGTTCTTTCGAATTGATTTTCTCGAAATGGTCAGAAATTAGAAGAAGAAAGCATAATGTGTGACAAATATATTATTCAACTTAATAAATCAAAAAGTAATGTTCAATATGTTCCAGGCGTGTAATACGACATGCAATAACAACACACTTTATACTGTAAACACTCGTCGTAACTGAAAAACAAGACAGCCTCAGAGCAAGTTTCACCAGCAATTTGTTGTTGTTCCATACTTCGATAGAAATTATAATTTTAACATATATTCAGTTGAAAGCAATATCAATTATTTTAAAATATATTTATCGAAACATAAATTTCTGACACTTTTTAAAAACTCAGAGAGATCGATAGATAAATAATTAACATGCTGCTATAATAATAATGCAATGGGTAATCAGATAAAACAAGAGGCCCACGGGCCTTAGCGGTCACCTGAGTTACATTATAGGTACTGGTAGGTCAAATTCATTGTAGAGATGTGATGTAGAAATCAACATGTAAACAAAGTCATGGAGCAGGATCTTTTCTCTCATACCAATCTCTAATTGCAATCTGGCTTCAAAAGTTTGAATAATTTCCTGCTGAAAATTGACAAAATATACCCAAAAGTGTTATTTCCCTCTATATACTAAAGTAATCACCGGTAAGTGACATGTATAAATAAACACTGGACACATTGTGATAGTCTTAAATGTTTTATTAAATCATACAACATTTTTATAATAACATTAATAGACTTGATTTTTTAAGTCGAGTCAGCGTCGTCTTACAAACGACATAACACATACATACATTTTACATATAAATACTGTTGTGTTTTAAGTTGTATGAAAGTCACATTTAC